CTTCTCTTCTCTTCTCTTCTCTTCTCTTCTCTTCTCTTCTCTTCTCTCAAAATTGGGAAGGCATCTATGTTGAATAACGTCTACCCATGTCTCTCCCTTTTAACAATAGCAGCTCTTCTTGACTGGATTAAATCTTATGCATTCATATCTACCAAAGACACCCCCCACAACTGAAAAAAAAAAAAAGTAATGCCATATTCTACCACTGTCCTACTTCTTGAAACTATACACAACTAATAGGGAATTCAAAGATTCTAGTTAAAATGATTTTAATAGATGAGAGAATGTTTCCTTTTTCCGGAATTGTATGAGGCACTAGAATTTAGGCAGGAATTTTTGCAGATCTCCCCAACTACAGAGATTCAAGATCTCTTGAAAAAAATATAGATTCAGAACTTACCACAGGTCGGTATGCTGGAAACATTTCACCAACAAAAGCCATGACTAACGTGATTCCAATAAACCCCCAAAAATACATCTTCATGACATGCCAGGGAACGGGAGTCGGGGACGTATCAACCCGTGACCGTACAAATAAATCGAAGTTCCGGTGCAACTGATTAAAAAAAAGATAAGAAGAGACAGGATTAAATACTGCAGTAACAGATTCGTTATACTGATTTCTTTGTACAATTGTTAAAATAAAAGAAGGTGTCTACAAAGTTGCTGCTGAAGATATTATTAATCAGTACTTCTCAATAAAAAAACCCAGTTATCCCATTTTACTTATAAAGTTTCTTTGAATTCTGAAGAAACTTTTATCACTAAGTAAAGATCTAAAGTTGGCTTCAATTAATGAAATAAAACAGGTACAGATAGTCCTTGACTTACGACCAGTTGCTTAATGATCATTCAAAGTTCCAACACACCAACTTGGGAGATATTTACAACCTGGATTCACAGTTCCGATGGTCATCCCGCAAATCATGTAAACACACTTCAGGCGATAGGCAATCAGGCCAAATTTATGGCAGCATCCCACAATCACATGGCCGTATTTTATGACAGTTTTGCTGAAAACTGGGATTCACTGGTTTTACCAAAAGCAAACCATGATGATTGATCCACTCTATGACCATCATAGGTAGGCTCCATTACAGTTGTAACTCAAGAAGTAGGTGTAAGCTGAAATGTTGTTTGACAAAATATTTGCTAAAGACACTTCAATACTAGAATAGCATATTGAAGTCATCACTTTATTGTTTATATTGCTTCTGAGTCAAAATGTAACAGGCCAATAGCTGGCCAATAAATAACTTTTGGTCAAGTTTAATAAGGACATAGTAGTATTGTCAATACCAGAATCAAAGTAGGGATTTCAGTGCTGATTTAAAGTATATCAGAGAAACAGAAATAGAGAATATGCTTGAGTATTGGACTCACGGAAGGATTGAACTTTTTACCAAATATATTATTGCACTCAGATATGCCATTAATTTTAATATGGGATTCTGGATTACAAACTGAATTGAAAAATAGGTAGACCCCAAATTAATTCTTCTTCTTACTGGTTCTCCAAAATTGCGCCTCAGTTCACGGTAATCCCACTCATACCAAGGATCTTTTGCTTGTGCGGATTGATCTGGGAGTTTGGGATAATCACCATAACTATGAAAATATGAGAACAGAGTTTTAGACCACCAGCAAACATTTTATGGACCCAGGTTGTTCCTAAATCTTTTCAGTGCTTAAATCAACAAATAACAATACAATTTACTAGTGATTTAAAATAAGAAAAAATAATAATCTGTCTGCTAAACTTAACAACTGGTCAAGAGGGCTGCAAGTGACAGGAGTATAACACTACCATGTTTCTTTGTCTCTTGCAGGTTGAATTGTGCATTTTTAAGTATCACAAACATATTGCCTATCCCTATTATAGACTAATTAACTGCTGGATGAATTAAGTCCTCAAAAATTGAGGAGAAAGTAATTAATATAATCAACCAACATTTGAGTATCTTACACATTTATCTTAAAAAAACATTCCTACTAGGGATGTCTCCACTATCAAACTAGTACATTTCCCCTCCTTGGTTGCAAATTCAACATGATATAGTCTTGTTCCAACATTATAATTGTTCAGCAAAGAAACACAGGATATTTATCACTTGATGAAACAGAAGAAAATTTATCAGTTGTTTTTTGAAACCACAGGGCTAGAATGGGTCCCAATTTGATTCTAAGGCAAGCCATATTAACGAATTAATTAACTGATTAACAGTTAAATTCTAAAGCAAGCCATACTGATTAACACACTGTTGTTACAAATGCTTGGTGAGGGTAACAGGACCTTCCATGATTTAGATCAGCATACTTGGTATATGTATATACCATATGTATATATACCATTGGAAATAATACACAAACTGCTAAGTACACATTTATATTTCTGATTTAAATAATGTTGCAGATGTGATTCCACTATTCCTTCCAAATTTAAATCTCCCTTTAATCTAGATTTATATATATATATATTAATTTCCCAATGAATGCCAACTATGAAAGTCAATTATGAGGGTCTGATAAGCATATATAGTCAACGCTCCACAATTCTAATATCACATTATTTGTTCCTATCTTTGTAGATAATATTTGGTTTCTTGCATATACAAATAAACGTACCCTACACCATCATCTGCATATGTCTGATAGTCCTCCAGTGTCAGGTTGTATTTCTTTGCAGCAGCTGCCTGCTCTTGTGGAGTCTTGGGGTATGACCCTGGAAGCAGATGTTTGGGCAGCTCTGAAGCTAAAAGCAGAAAGAGCAACAACTCAAAAATAGTGTAGAGAAAAAATGTGCAGTGCAGATGATAAAGTCTGATTATTTTATTATTTATATATATATATATACACACACACACACATCCTGAGTTTTACAAATGAGTCAAGGTAGTGAATATATCCAACAAATCTTCTTTCTCCTATTTTCCCCACAACAACCATCCTGTGAGGTGATTTGGGCTGAGAGAGGGTTTGGCCCAAAGTAGCCAACTGACTTTCATGGCTAAGGCAGGACAATAACTCACAGTCTCCAGTTTTTTAGTCTGATGCCTTAAACACTAGATCACACTTTATTTTCACTGACTATATCAACAAGGTAATATGGAATAAAAACCTATATTAATTTGTATTAAAAGAATATATGAATCCATTATTTAATGTCATCTTAGAGTAAATTCAGACGGGATATTTAAGATTGGTCTGCTAATGAAAGTGATCAAGGTTACTTTTAATTACATTGAAAATAGAATTTTACACAATAGAAACTACAGAAACTTAAAAAGAAGCATACATATTAAATATATAATATAAAGTATAAAGTAAAGTATGTAATATATAGTGAAAAACAGAAAGAAAATAAAAAGGAAAATATCTAAAGTGACTTCTGATTTTCTTTAAAGCAGTTATTAGCATGATTACCATTTCCTCCTTCTCAATCTTGGTTTTTATCTTCCCATAAGCCACATTTTTAAATCAGTAAATCCTGACATCACTAACTCATTTGCGTCCATTTTCAGTTAAAAAAAAAAAAGTCCATGAAGTGTTTTCAGTCTTTTATCAAAGCAGTTATTGTTCCTTCCCAAAATCAATTTAAACCATTTTAGCATGCTCTAGCATCTTCACAATCCACTCTTCAATTGTGAGTATTTCTGTATTATTATTATTATTTTTACCTTAGAAGGTTAAATCATGGCAGCTGGACCAAATATTTATTAAATACTTTTGGCCTGGAAGATTGAGTCTTCATTTACATGTATTTTTGTTAAGTTGTCCTAATCCCTTTTGTTTTGGCTACCTGACCCCACATCTCCCGTTAAACTAGTTATGCTTTGGAACAGTATTGGGGCATCACTGCAACACCCTACTTCTATTACACGCCAACGCCATTAAAGATCAATTAGTCCTATATTGACCAGGTACAAAATCAGAAACCCAGACGCCTCACCCATCCCCGGCTGAGACTTTTCGGAAAGGCCTCCTGCACAAACTTCAACAGGAGGACAGAAAGGGTGCGGGAGAACCGCCAAACGGCAGTGCACCATAGGCAAAGGGCTGCTCAAGGGCCACAGCTGCACTTTTCAATTCCTCAAAATTGCTTTTTTTTCATATTAACCCAAGGGGTCTTCAAACTTGACAGCTTGAAGACTTGTGGACTTCAGTTTCCAGAATTCTTCCTCCAGTCACGTTAGCTCAGGAATTCTGGGAGTTGAAGTCCACAAGTCTTAAATTGACCAAGTTTGAAAGACCCTTGTATTAACCGGTCCGGTCCGGAGAAGGAGCCGAGTTTGACGTCTCTGCTATGACAAAGGAGCGGCCTAATGCCCCTGCCACACAACACGCTTCGGAAGCAGACGGGAGCCCCACAAGGCGGGCTGCAGCCCTCCAGGGCAGGGGTCTCCAACCTTGGCAACTTTAAGCCTGGAGGACTTCAACAGCCGACCTCCGCAAGGCGCCCCCCCCCCCCCCGTCTGTCCCTTCCTGAGCCCAAGCTTCAAGGCCCGCCTCCCTTCACCGCCCGAGACGCAGAGGTACTCACGGACCGAGGCGGCGGCTGCCATCTCCCGGCCAGGCGAACGGGCGGAGGAGGGCGCAGAGACGGCCCCGAGCAACGACAGAGGCCATCGCGTCTCTCAAGGGCGAGCGCCGGGTCAAAGCTGAAGGCTGGATGACTTCTGATCGGCCATAGAGTTTTTCTGAAGAGAGCCGCTGTCCTCAGGACTGACCCGGAAACAGCTTGCGCCGCGAGGGGGCGCCAAACGCTCCAAGCCCCTGCTGTGCTTGTCAAGCCGGAAGGAAGCGAGTCTCACTCGTTCCGCCGTAGCCTCCTGGAAAGCACAGCGAGCTCGGATGCTTATTTTATGTGTTCAACTTGGGCATCTCTCTCTCTCTCTCTCTCTCTCTCTCGCTCCCGGTGTGTGTGTGTGGGGGCACTGCAACCGACACGTCTGCTCACAACTTGATAAAGATGAAAAGCAAGTAACCCTCCGTGGTATTGAAAGCAGCTGGCTGAGCTATTAAGACCAGGAACGGGGCACTAGCCCAAATATAGATCCTGGCAAAGTTCATCCACTAGGACGATCCCATGTCCAGACGAGACCACTGTGAAAAGGAGTCAGTATTGACGACTCTCGCTCTGTCAAGGACCTTGGAGCACTCATATCAAACGACCTAAGCGCCAGAGCTCACTGTAACAGCATTGCCAAAAAGGCATTAAGGGTTGTAAATCTAATCTTATTGAAGCTTCTCCAGAAATATCGAATTGCTAACTAGAGCATACAAAACCTTTGGTAGACCAATCTTCAATACTTCAGTACTTATTACCTTTATTGTCAGAGTGCAACTGACAAACAAAATACAGCTCATCTGTCTGGAATCCACACTGTATATTGGACATTAATACAATTGAGCGAGTCCAGAAGTATTTCACGAGAAGAGT